CACCTGGAAATTCCAGGGCACATCACATCCATCTATTTCACCAATGACATTATGCTAATCAGGCAGGATGAGCAAGAGGTGGCTAGCACGTTGGAAACTTTGGTAAGACACATGCACTTCAGAGGTTGGGAGATAAACCATACGAAGACTGAAGAACCTCCTACTTCGGTTTTTAGGGATCCAGTGGTCAGGGGTTTTCCAGGATATCCCTTTCAAAGTAAAAAGCAAATAATAAAGTACACATAAGATAAGAGAAACAGTAACTTACAAAATTTCCAAAAGAGATATCTAGAATTGTTCATAGTGTTTATGTCCTTTGAGATGTTTTCATTGTGCACAAAGTATAAACATAATAAACTAATATGGGATCTCACTACTCATCCATCACAATCCAATATTTTGCTTGTTTATTTGTACACTTTTTTTTTTAAATCGCCTCTTTCCTCACTGTGATATAAACTTCACGAAGGACAGGTCTGTCTTGTTCACTGCTACATCCCTGGCACTTAAAATGTAGTTGATACTCAATAAATATGTCTTGGTGAAATGAATGAAACATACTATACACATAATTTTGGAGCCAGCTACTTTAACTTCCAGACATTTAAGATTATATTTCATCATTCTTAAAATGCGTCCCTCCAAAAATCATATGAAAGCACTGTTCCCACACTCCAAAGACTATTTCTATGAATGCAGCTTCAGAACCAGGAAGCCTTCGTCTTTTGGCAGCCTTCGAGTCTCTTCCCTTCTGGCCGGTACTGCCGTAGAGACTACAACGGACACATTCTTGGGTGGATCATTCTTTAGAGGACCCAACTCACCAAGGACAGGAGAAAGTTGTCCCCAGGCAAGCAGCCCAGCCCAGGGCCATGTCCCTCCTTAAGCCACACGGGGGCGCCAGAGCGCCGCAGTCCGCGCGGGGCCCGGGGCCACTGGGAGAAAGACTCAGGGTGGCTGTATTGACTGCCCGGTGTGGGCGGAGCGAAGGGCGCCCAGGCCGGTGTGGCGGGCAGGAAGTGCGGGTGCGCGCCTGCGCATAGGTCGGGTCGGAGGTGTCACAGCTTTCGCTTCTGCTTGAGTCAGTCCTCACGGTGACGCCTTTCCCCAGCTTTTCCGAGTAGGCTCGTGCCCAGGGCAGGAGGCAGAATGCGGGAGTGGGGAGGGGGCGGAGCGCAGAGCGCCTGCGGGGGCGCCAGGGCAAGGAGTGGGGATCCGTGGGGAAGGGGATATGGGAGGAGGCGTGGGTGGGCGACAAGGCTGCGTGGAGGGGAGGGGCGCGGGGGCGGGAGACGGAGGGCATCTGTCCTGGGAGAGCCTGGTTTTCCCTTCGCCTGTCCCGGGGCACGCCGGCGACCGCGTGTGTCTGCCCCGCGGGAGTACTTTCGGGGGCCGCCTGCCCTCCCCCTCAGCCTGCCCTCATTGGCGGCCCCGCTTTCAGAGCTGCGTTTCTCACCCGCGTGGCCTCGGGCGCCTCACCCGGCACCTCCCGCCGCGTCGGGCATCCGTCTCTTTCACCCCTTCATTCTCCAGGAGAAACTGAACACGTTTTCCAGCCTAACTCGGCAGGGCAAACCAGAACATTCCCCGTCTAAGCAGTTCCGGGGAGTTTTAACAACTTCCTGGTAAACTCCTCTACAGAACTCACTGTATACTGTGTAAATGTCGTCTGTGTGTGGAGCAACAGTTTTATTGTGCCGTGCAATCATCAACAAGAAATTGTAGTCCAGGGAGATGAAAATCCCTTATTTGGCATTCAGGCGTTGATCAAGGCCGTGCAACCCTCGCTAAAAGGATTTAGGTTCATCTCCGTCATTCTCAGCCGGGGTGAAGGGGTGTAGTCTGACATTTGGAAGCTTAAGAACCAAGTCTGCTGCCGTCCAATTCTTTTTTAAAGCCTTCCATCATGTGTGTACTTTGCTTGAATGATTATTTTAAAGTACATGTCCTATTTTTGCCAATCTGACAGCTGTTTCCATAGAAACTAGAGAAGAAATAGTCATTTTCAGCAGGAGTTGTTAAAACTGTCTTCCAGGCTTCAGCAATGAGTGCCAGTGAGTGCTGCACTTGCTCATTCTGAGATGGTACTTAAAGAATTAAGGATCTGAAATGTTCTTAGAGGCTAACAATCCAAATTGTTTAATTTTCTCACATCATTAATTTTGTAATCCTAGAAGTCTGCCAGCTATGTTTGTTGACCCGCCACAGCTCTTTGAAGAGAATGTGTCAGCCCTGATTTTTTTTTTCTTATGTGCTCCGTAGTCTAGTGATTGGCTCGCTGAAAATGCATGAATAGATTTCTTCCCTCATTCTTTACCCTTTCTTCAGGATAACCCACGGATTACAAAATATCAGGCACTGTTTCTATTCAAAATGACACTTGCTTGTCAGTGATAGAAATGATAATGGTTTTAATTATATACATGTAGTGTTGGGGCTTTTGCTTATACCTTCTGTGTCAGTAGGATTCTTTTTTAAATTTTTACACAAGTCATGAGAAATGAGAAGGAGTTTGCTTGTCATGAGCAGAGCTAAGCAGTGTGAGTAGATGTGCATAGACACAGAGATGAGAGCTTTCCTTTTCTAGGGGCTGTAAGTGAATCAGGGAGGTTGGAATTTAGGAATGAGTGAAGGAGGGTTGGGGAAGGTGCCTGGAGAAGTAGTAGGAGGGCCTGGTTCACCATATGAAGGAGTTTATAAAAGCCATGGAAAACCAATGCAAGTCCAGGCTTGGTGGCTCATGACTGTAATCCCAGCACTTCGCAATGCAGTACGATCAGTTGAGCCCAGGAGTTAAAAATCAGCCTGGGCAACATAGTGACACACCGTGTCTACCGAAAAAATTTGGAAAATTAACTGGGTTGGCAGGGTGCGGTGGCTCAGGCCTATAATCCCAACACCTTGAGAGACTGAGGTGAGCAGATCACTTGAGTCCAGGAGTTCGAGACCAGCCTGGGCAACTTGGCAAAACCCCGTCTCTACTAAAAATACAAAAATTAGCCAGGTGTGGTGGCGCATGCTTGTAATCCTAGCTCCTGAGGAGACTGAGGCGCGAGAATTGCCTGAACCCAAGAGGCGAGGTTGCAGTGAGCCAAGGTGGCACCACTGCACTCCAGCCTGGGCGACGACAAAGTGAGACCCTGTCGCAAAAAGGAAAGAAAAGAAAAACAATGGAAATTACAGAAATAGTTGCCTGAGTGGAGCCTTAAAAAAGTAATAATACATTCTGTAGAAATTTGAACTGCACAGAAATATATAAGGTGAAAATACTAATAATGCCTCTTAACCACCATCCTGCCATCAAAATAATTGTGAATAGTTTGGTGTATCTTTTTTTCAGATTTATTTTTGTATATATTACCATATATTCTCATTACTATTTTTGCAAACTGGGGAGGGATTTTTAAATGTATTTTGTTCTCTGCAGTATCCCTAGCATTCATAATGGTGCCTAGCATTTAGTGGGCACTCATTAAACGTTTTCAGAATGAATGAATAATAATACAATTCAGAGGTCAAAAATACAAAATCTGAATGTTTGATTAAGGTCGTTAAAATTTTTTAAGTTCATTGCCAACATTTAAAAATTGATAAATTTCACATAAAATCTGAAATTCTGGCTTAACTTGAAAGTTTTGAATCATTTGGCCACAGCAAGTTCAAATTCCTTCATACTGTTTGCACTTCCTTTAGATGGGCATGAATCTGCATTCACATCAATATCGCTTTACTGATATTCACTTGCCTCGACCCTACAAACTTGTGCTGTGCGATACAGTAGACACTAGCCACATATGGCCATTTAACTTAGTTAAAAATTTCATTCCTCAGGTGCACCAGTCACATTTCAAATGCCCAGTAGCCACCTGTAGGGGCTACCTTATTGGACAGTGCAGACATGAACATTTTTATCATTGCAGAAAGGTCTGTTGTATGGTGCTTCTTTAGACGTTTGAGTTTGCCACCTCTGCTATACAGAAGTTTTTAGGTGGCATTTATTATTATTTTTAAACTTGTGTATCCCTTTGCCAGAGATTGCTATCTTTTAAATCTTATGAAGATTTACAGATCACCATGTTATCTTTTAAATGATTACATGGTATTTACCAGGGTAGGACTGTATGTAAATTGTGGGGGTAGGATTCTGTTGCTGGGGTTTGCATTTTAGAAATAGTGCTTTAGCTGCAGTTTGGGGTCAAACGAGTGGGAGGGGTTGGTGGTGAAATCAGGCAGGGAGATTAGGTGTGTAGTGATCAACACCATAAGACCACAGAGCCCAGGAAAGGCTAGAATGAGATAAGAAGGAGGTGGAATTGACATGACTGATTTAATGTGGGCTGAGATATTTTGGATGCTAAAGTTGCTGTAGAGATAATCCAGTATTTCTGGAACTGATTAAATGTTGAAAATTGGTAAATTTGGCTTTGCAAAGTGTAGGAGGAACCCTCAGCTAGTTCCAGTAAACAACATGTATAATATTAAAATGCTGTAGATTTACAAAAACAAATGTGCAACTGTTTTATACCATGTAAATGTCTTAGAGATCATTTATTTGTAGAATACAGAAACTCATTGAAGAAAGGGAATTATTTTGGGGATAAAGTAAAAGCTCATGAAGCTCAATTAAGTGTAGGAAGTACAATGGTTTCATGGGAAACAGGGAGGTCTTTTTCTCTCGTGTTCACTCTGGCTTCGTGGTCTCTCACTTATCTTCTGCCTGCACTTGTATTCCATTGTCTCTTCTGTGGATCCATTTTTTTTTTTTTTTTAAAAAAGCTTTTTGTTTGTAGTTCTTGCTTACATATTGCTTTGTTTGGCCATAGCACCTGCTGTAGACCCAACTTACACATGCCCTTATATTCCTGTGCGGGATACTGTTTTATGTAAAATCTTTTTAGTGTCAAATGCCTACTCCTAGTTCTGTAGCTAATGGTAGGGGTTGCTAGGGATGAATGTGGCCAACTAGGCTCATCCCCTAAACTGAGGCCGTAAAAGCACATTTGGAAAAGAAGTTGTGCTTGGGCAAGTGTCTAAAGCTTATCTACTACAGTAAATCATCAGATTTGAGGTCAAGGAAAGAAAGTGGGCTTGTGTTGTTTTTGCAGTTTGACTTCTAGAAGACTTCACATTTAAACCTTAATACACTTTCCCATTGAAAACAGTTCTTTCCATTGTTTTTTCTCTTTCTGATCTGTCTAAATGGCATGAAAAATAATTGCTGCCTTCCTGAGCTCTTCAGCTACTCATGGATGTCTTTTTAAAAATGCGTACAGTATGTATTTTTAATAACTGAATTTTATTATCCCCTAATAGTCTTACTTAGGTTCAATATTGTCTCCTCAACTAGATTATAACCTCCATGAAAGCAGGACTATATTCTGTGCTGCATAACTCACATGCCTCCTAGCCACTGAAAACCTTACTAGCTACTCCAATATGAATTTTGAAATGATTTCTAGGCTTAAATTCTTTTACCACTTTTCAGCTTGGTTCAAAAAAGTAAAAACAAAGTATCTTGTTAATAATGTCAAACTATTACATATCAGCCTAGACTTTACTAATTTAAAGTTGGTAGTATTTCAAAAAGGGTTAACTTAACTCAAAGTTAATGTTTTACTTAGCATGCCCTTTATTAACATTATACATTAACAGTGCAAGGGCAGGGTGTATGAATTACATAAAAAATAAATTTGAGTAATTTTCAAATAGTTTGATATATAGATAATACTATTTATTAAAACTGGTAGTCCTGAAGCGTCTTTCTAGATAATATCGTATTAGCTTAGGTTGAGTTTTACATGTTTTTTTCCCCCAACTTTTATATGAAGGTGTCGAAACATGCAGAAAAATTGAGGAAAAATTTAAGGAACACGTATGTAACTATCACTGAGATACAATGATTGCTGATATTTTATTTATTGACTTTATGTCCTTTGTGTGTGTACATTTGCTGTACAATTTGAAAGTGAGTTTTATTTATCATGAACAGATCCTTCAGCAAGTATCTCAGGAATAAAATAGTCACATAACCACAATATTATCACCTAAGAAAATAATAATTACCTAAAACAACTTGAAATTCAGTTCATATTTAGATTCCCTCAATCTGGGTTTTTTGTTTGTTTTTGGTTGTTGATTTTTTTTTTTTTTTTTAAAGACAGGTTCTCATTCTGTTGCCCAGGCTGGAGTGTAGTGGCACAATTTTGGCTCACTGCAGTCTCCACCTCCCAGTTTCAAGTGATTCTCCTTCCTCAGCCTCCCAATTATAGCTGGGTTTACAGGCAAGCACTACTCTTTGTAATCCCTTCCCCTGGCCCTTTTTCCTACCACTCCTCAAGCAGTCACTGATCTCTCTGTCACTATGGATTAGTTTGCATTTTTTGCAGTTTATGTTATAGAGATGGAATCAGAGTATGTACTTTTTTGTGTGTTTTTCTTTTTTCTTTTTTTTTGACAGAGTCTCACTCTGTTGCCCAGGCTGGAGTACAGTGGCGAGATCTCGGCTGTCTGCAACCTCCACCTCCCAGGTTCAAGCAGTTCTCCTGCTTCAGCCTCCCAAGTAGCTGGGATTATAGGCAAGTGCCACCACACCTGGCTAATTTTTGTATTTTTATTAGATAGGGGTTTCACATTGTTGGCCACGCAGGTCTCGAACTCCTGACCTCAAGTGATCCGCCTGCCTCGGCCTCCCTAAGTGCCGGGATTACACGTCGTGAGCCACCATGCCCAGCCTTTTTTGTGTTTTTTAATGAATTTATACAGTTCATCTAAGATGTCCAGTTTAAGATTTTATCTTTCATTGATTTTAGGAAGTTATGTGCCTTGCAGTTTTTTTCCTTTGTGTTTCTTTTGTGTAGGGTTTGTTAAACATTTTGAATTTGTGGTTTTATAGTTTTCATCAAGTTTGGAAAACTTTTGGCCATTATTTCAAGTATTCTTTTTTCTGTCTGCACCTCCCCCGCCACTTTCTGGGGACTTCAGTTAGATGAATATTAGGTCGCTTGAAGTTATTACATACCTCATTGACGCCCTGTGCCTTTTTTTATTATTGTATTTTCTCTCTGCGTTTCATTTTAGATGGTTTCTGTTGATACATCTTCAAAGTCACAAATCTTTATTTCTATAATGTTAATCTGCTATTGTCTCATCTAGTATGTTTTTCATCTTATGTCTTATAGTTTTCCTGTCTAAAAGTTTAGTGTAAGTCTTTTAAAGAAATATATATCTCTATGTAACATGCTCATATTTTCCTTTAGCTTCTTAAACTTGTGCATTATAGTTACAGTAACTAATATCCTTGTTTACTAATGCTGTTATTTGTTTATTCAGGAGTTAGTTTCCACTGATTGATATTTCTTCTAATTACAGATCACATATCTTGCTTCTTGCATGCTTGGTGATTTTTAATTGTAAATTGCACCTTGTTAAGTGCTAAATAGTTTTGTGTCCTAATACCTGTTCTTGAGATTTTTTGTTTTGTTTTGTTTTTTGTTTTTTCTGGGATGCAGTTGTTGCTTGGAAGCATTTAATCTTTTTGGGTGTTGCTTTTAATATTTGTTAGGTGGGGCCACAGCAGCTTTTGGCCTAGGACTAATCTTTCTCTAATGTTGAGGCAAAACCCTTCTGAGTGCTTGATGAATGATAAGGTTTTCCACTTTGGTTGGCGGAGGGGACAGACACTATACCATGCCATATGTGAGCCCTGTATATTCTTCTCTCCAGTCTTTTCAGGTGGTCCTTTCCCAGCTCCAGGGGATTTTCTTACACATATGCCCAGGCAGGACTTAGCTGAATATGGGAGGGGGATTCTCTGCAGAACTCTAGAGTTCTCTGTGCAGCTCTTTTCTTCTCTTGTCCTCTGTCCTGTGAGCTCTAGCAACCTTGGTTTGCTTGACCTCGCAGCCTTATCTCTTTGATTTAGGGGAATCACTGGGCTCCACCTAGGTTTACCCTGTCTGCATTGTGGCCTGGAAGCACTCTCCAGGCAATAAGCTAGGACAATTGCAGGGCTCTGTTTCCCATTTCTCAGGGATCACTGTTCTTCAGTGCCTAATGTCCAGTGCATTTTATATAAGTTAGATTTTACTCTTCCGTATTACATGCTTCCTTCCAGTTATTGCAAACTGATAAAAGTTTTACTATTGTTTTTATCTAATCCACTTTATTGCCCAAATAATTTGCCATTAAAATAAAAATGGCTCTCCCCTAACTACAAATTAAAAATGAAATGAAAAAAATGCAAGCTTCTAAAGTACACATTGCATAGTAAATGTCATGTTATGTATACTCTGGTTTATCTTGCTGAAAGGCATTGCTGTAGGGGTGATGAGTTGAAACCCAAGGTAATTTAGCCTGAGATGTGTTAGAAGAACAGCTGACACACCTATTTAATAAGTGTTATATTCCCAGTTTGGTAAGTAAATATTTTCCACAAATATTTATAGTTTATTTTTTGTGTTTCAGGTAATCAAGTGAAAAAGATGAGCTTCATCTGTGGATTGCAGTCTGCTGCTAGAAACCATGTTTTCTTCAGATTTAATTCACTGTCTAACTGGAGAAAATGTAACACGTTAGCATCAACCTCACAGGGCTGTCATCAAGTACAAGTTAACCATATAGTAAATAAGTATCAGGGACTGGGAGTAAATCAGTGTGATAGGTGGACTTTTCTGCCTGGAAACTTCCATTTTTATAGGACTTTTAACAACAAAAGAACAGGATGCCTCTCAAGTACCAAAAATAAGGAAATTTGGATGATTACCAGCAAACGTACTGTATGGAATGACTCTTTTTCAAGACAGCTACTGATAAAAGAAGTTACAGCAGTTCCTAGTCTGTCAGTATTGCATCCTCTGAGCCCTTCTCCTGTAAGAGCTATTAGGAATTTCCACACTTCTCCACGGTTTCAAGCTGCTCCGGTTCCTCTCTTGTTGATGATTCTTAAACCAGTGCAGAAGTTATTTGCAATCATTGTAGGCAGGTAAAATGCTTTTTTAGAAAACTAAACTTTTGTATTAACTTTTTGCATTAGTATTTTGTGTTAACTTTTAGAAATTAAATTTTTTTATTTATAAAACTGTACTTTTAAAGAAACCTTGTTAGATCCCGTGTCCCCTCATTTAGCTCAAAGTGAAGTTTCTAAACAGTAGCTCCTGCCCAGTTTTGTTATGTATGATTTAATAATCCTGAAACGATTTCCTGCATATTAATTTATGGTATAGAAATATGGTCTCTTTAAAAAGTTATTCTTACGTATTATATAGGCATTTTTTAAAAAGTCTTATATTTATGATTACAAGATCTTAGGATATGTGGATCAGAAGTGTTGGTTGTCGCTCACATATAAGAAGAGTACTTACAAACATTTCTTTTTAATTTGTGGAATTTAAAGGCAGCAAATCATAAAACTGAGGAACTTTACTTATATAAGGGTGGGCCCACTCCTAGTTAACTCTTAAATCATTAATGCTCCTTTTTTTTCTATTCTGTTCCCAACAGATCTTTGTTTTTTTTTCTTGGAGATCCTTTATAATAAACTTTCACAGCTTGATAGTACTTTAACCCTTTTTCTGTTACTTGTTTTATGAAGATTGAAGAAAGCGAATCGCTGTTTCTTCATAAAGCTTTCTTGTGTTTGATGACTGTGAAGTCCCTTCCAGCCTTCTTACTTCCACATGAACCAAACCAGTTTGCTTTTGTTAAAACCAAGAACTTCCATTTGTAATTTATTGTGTTCTTCGTGATTTGGTGTTGGCACCCAGAGGAGATACAGCTGTACTGACTCTTGGTTGAAGTAATATGCTCATCCCAGGTTCTTGGGATGCTCTTTCTGATTTCTGATGCGTTCTCATCCTTTTAAATTGTTGGTTTTTAACTTTCTTGTTTTCGTTACTATTGTTGATCACCTAAAATTTTTCATTTAGAATATGTCTTTCATACATTTTAAATAAATGATAATGTCATGTAAAGTTTTAAATAGGAAATAGGTGTACTTGATAGTTTGGTTTATGTCCCTTTAAATTGAGACTTTGTGTAAAGGCATTGGGGTGTGTCACTTCACAAAGAGAACTTTAAGAAGTTATTTTGTAAAATAAATTTTTGTCAAGAGAATCATGTATATATGGTAAATTTTTGTTGTGGTTTTACAGATCAACTCACAAGGAAAATGTTTGTCCCGGTATTGAAAATATTGCTTGTTGTCAGAAAAGTTTCTGAACACTGCTAAGCAGCAGACAGTATTGTTGCCTGGTAGAAATTGGACCTTCTCAGATGTTATCTACAAAATCTCCCACTTTCTTATGAGTACCTATGATATTATTATCTCTCCTTTCTCATTTTCTAAAGAGGATAGTGGAGTTTCTGCTACTGAGCACTATTTATTTCCAAAATGAATGCTGAGGCAGTTTTCCTTGTACCTTGTTGAATCACTGGCAAATTGTGTTGGAGGTCTGAGGAGCAGTGGGAAGAATAGTAGTTCCAGGTATAGATTTATTGTACTGTAACCTCTTACATAATTAATTAGACAGTTATCCCTATTAAGTGGCTAAGTGGTCAGACTCTGGAATGTCATTGACTTCATTGTTTGGTTTTACTCTTATTACCTGGGTGGCCATGGACAAGTTACCTAACAATTTTCTCTTCTGTGACAGGATTATTATGAAGATTAAATGAGATGGCATATATATATATATAGAAAGAGAGAGAGAGAGAATTTTGCATATACTAGATAGTAATAAATGTTAACCAGTGGTAGTTATAGTAAACTAGCATCTCATTTAGTGTTTATCCTTAAAATAGCTGAGGAGGAAAATTTTGATGAGTATTAGAATTTTTTAGCTGTAACTTTATATCGTTGATGATTTCTTCATCATTTAGCTAAGAATTTTGTTAACTGGAAATGCGATGTATTCAGCAAAATATATAAATTCAGGTGTTTGAGGACATAAAATTCTAGTGTATGCATTTGAGCTTTAGTGATACGTGCTGTAATGATGATCAGAACTTTGAATTTTTCTTTTTGCTTTAGGGGCATAAGGAAATGGTGGCAGGCACTTCCTCCTAACAAGAAGGAACTATTTAAACAAAGTATAAGGAAGAATAAATGGAAGCTATTCCTTGGTTTGAGTAGTTTTGGATTGCTCTTTGTGGTGTTTTATTTTACTCACCTGGAAGTAAGTCCAGTCACAGGAAGGAGCAAGCTACTATTATTGGGGAAAGAGCAGTTCAGACTTTTATCAGAACTGGAATATGAAGCAGTAAGTAGTAAGAATTGTTTTTAATTAGACTGCTTAGTATAACACTCAAAGTAGGAAAGTATCTTAAATATGAAAGATACGTTGTTTTTAAATTTTAGTCTTTGATATGAAATTAGCATTTTTTTTTCCAGAAGGCCTCAGACCTTTCACACTTAGTATTCCTACTGCCTACATTGCTTTTCCTAGCATTCACCCAGCCAACTCCTGCTCAGCACATTTCTCCTTGAATGCCACTTTTCTCCGGAAAGCCTTCCATGATAACCAGACTGGGTTACGCAGGTGACTGGATGAGGCCTGAGGAGGTATCCTTCATACCAACTGAATTATGAACCAGCTCATTTGTAGTTGTGCCCATTGCTTGGCTTTACTGGGGTTAGGTCTCCTAGGCTTTTTTCCTCTGCACACTGTACTTTTCCTTCAAAGCACTCGTGAGAGTAACATAATTATTTGCATAATTATTTATTCGATAGTCCGTGTCCCTTGTTAGACTAAGCTTTATGGGGGCAGGGATCTTGCCTGTTTTTGTTTATGGTTTTATTTTAAATACTAACACAGTGTGTAAGAGTAGTGCTTAGTATATATCTATTGGATAAATAGATTTATTGTCAGAATTTTTATACTTTGAAAATCAAGTAATATAAGATCATTTTTCTCCAAACATCAGTTTTAGCAATTTATTATGTTTTTTGAATCCAAACTGAAGTTGTAATTTAGAAGTCTTACCTCTTTGGAAAGTGTAATCACTTAGGTAGTTAAACATTTTATACCCTAGTGAGTTTCTTCGCGACAGAGGTCATCATTTTCTCTCCAGTTCATAGCACATATACATGTTATGTGCCCTGTGGCTCAATTAATATTTGTTGAATTCATGTCCAGTGGCCTCACTCGACAGCTTTGGCATGGCTAAATCTTTTTTTTTTTTTTTTTTTGAGACAGAGACACTCTGTCGCCCAGATTGGACTGCAGTGGCGCAATCTCGGCTCACTGCAACCTCCGCTTTCCAGGTTCAAGTTATTCTCCGGCCTCAACCTCCGGAGTAGCTGGGACTATAGACGTGCACCACCATGCCTGGCTAATTTTTTTGTATTTTTAGTAGAGACGGAGTTTCACCGTGTTGGCCAGGGTGGTCTCGAACTCCTGACCTCAGGTGATCCACCTGTCTCGGCCTCCCACAATGCTGAGTTTACAGGTGTGAGCCACTGTACCTGGCATGGTTAAATCTTTTTATTCCAAATGAACTTCTGAGTTTGTCAATGGAAAGTTACTATGAAAAAAAGAAATAATATTTTCTTAGTTATAAAAATTTTTCTTAGTCCAGGCAAGACCAGTCTCTTTTAGTAGAGTATATACAGAGATTTGAGATGTTTCTTAGGCTTTAGTCAGAGGCAGGTTTAAGGAAAGTGTTCTGGAAAGATTGAGACAGGCCTAGTATTAGTGCATCTTTTACCATTCACATTGCTAAGAAATTTTTTAAAATTTATGTATATCTATGTACGTGTATATACATATAGACATAGGTACATTTTTCTTTTTTTCTTATTTTAGCTACAAACGTAATATCTGTGTGATACGAAAATTTAAGCACATGTTCTTATAGGGATATTATAAAGTGCTATAATTACATTCTTGTTTTATCTACTTCAGAAGAGTTAATAAATAGTGGGGGTTTTTGTCTGTTTTAGGCAGTTCACATTGGTGAATTATGCTTTTTAGAAGTATTTAAAATAAAAACTACTTGTAAGTTCATATTCTGTAAAATAATGTCTTTTTAATGCATCTCAAGGGGAAAAGTTACTAACTTGTTGATTCTTTTTTTGGTGGTGGTGTTTTGAGAGTCTCGCCTCTGTCACCCAGGCTGGAGTGCATGGAGTACGTGGGGCTATCTCGGCTCACTGCAGCCTCCACCTCACGGGTTCAAGTGATTCTCCTGCCTCAGCCTCCCAAATAGCTGGGACTACAGGGCCTGCCACCACACCCGGCTAATTTTTGTATTTTTAGTAGAGATGGAGTTTCACCATGTTGGCCAGGATGGTCTCGATATCCTGACCTTGTGATCTGCCCACCTCAGCCTCCCAAAGTGCTGAGGTGGCATGGGCCACCACACCCAGCTACTTTATGAAAGTTAAAGTAATATTTCAGAACATTTTTAATTTTCTCAGTACACTTGAAAGAGCTCTCATGAATATAACTTCAGAAAACGTATCTTCTATGATGGCTAGTCTTAATCAGCATCATGTAGAGACAGTGATATGCTCATTGGTTCTGAGATTTCAGTAATTTCCTTTCAATCTGTAAATAAAACACCTTAAAATTAATGAAATATCTATTTTGGTAGTTTAACTTTAGGGTGTTTTTCTGTTCAGTGCTTTATGAATGTAATTTTCTTTTGTATTTTACTTAGATGAAATCTTAAGTTCTCTAGGCTTTCTTTCCTTCTTTTCCTTTCTTTTCTTTTTGAGATGGGGTCTCACTCTTTTACCCAGGTTAGAGTTGGAGTGTAGTGGTGAGATCTCAGCTCACTGCAACATCCGCCTCCCAGGCTCAAGCGATCCTCCCACTTCAGCCTCCCATGTAGCTGGGAACACAGGTGCATGCCACCACCCCTGGCTAATTTTTTGTGTTTTGGTAGAGATGGGGCTTCACCATGTTGCCCAGGCTGGTCTTGAACTTCTGAGCTCAGGTGATCCTACTGCCTTGGCCTCCCCTAGTTCTGGGATTACAGGTGTGAGCCATCTTGCCTGGCCTAGGCAGTGTTTTCTAAAATACTTAGGAAAGTAGAAATAATACCTAAGTATTCGTTTGTAGTTTAATCGAAAAGAGTGAAATTTTGATGTCAATCTGTTCAATCCATAAAAAAATCTTAGTATTAGAATTTATTCCTTTGCGAGAAACCACATTGTCTTTGCATGAATAATTCAGATTTGAGAAATTTGAGTGCTTAATATATGCAGATTTTTATATAGTTAAAACTTAAAATGTTCAACAATAAATAGTCATATAACTTTCCATGAAGCAGAGTAAGCATTTCGTAGTGCTCTTTTAAAATAAGAAGTAATTTTTAATCTTTCAGCACATGGAAGAATTTAAAAATGATATGCTAACTGAGAAAGATGCCCGATACCTGGCTGTTAAAGAAGTGCTTTGTCATCTAATTGAATGCAATAAAGATATTCCAGGGATTTCTCAGATCAATTGGATTCTTCATGTGGTTGATTCCCCAATTAATAATGCCTTTGTGCTTCCAGTAAGTAAATGTTCTCAAATGCATTATAGTTGTTAAATTTATTGTCCTTGTTTTTTATGATGTTCTAATTGCTTATATTATTTTCTTTGTGGTACAGAATGGACAAATGTTTGTTTTCAGTGGATTGTTAAAAAGTGTAACCGATATTGATCAACTTTCTTTCCTTCTCGGCCATGAAATAGCACATGCAGTACTTGGACATGCTGTAAGTACCTAATATGAATGTTCAGGTTTGGAAAAACTGCTTTGAAGTTAACAAGTTAAATCTTTTAAAGAACTGATTTTCTTTAGCTTTTTTTTTAAAATGATAGACTTTTAGTTTTGAGTAATTGCCTTAATCTGCTACCTGAAAAAATGTGATTGGCTAATTTTGAGAATTTTTATGGTCTTTAGTATTTGATACTGAATAAGATTTTGCTTAAATACTATTTTTATCACCTGTCTCTTTTGCTAAAAAGTAATTATTCTTAACCCCTAATTATTTCAAATTAAATTTTAAACTTTCTGTAATTATTAATATACTTGTAATCTAGTCAGAAAATTAATTGTAGGAAAGTGATATTACTATTTAAGTGGGTAAATCATCTTTCTTTTTTATTCATTCTCAGAAGATAGCTTGGAGCATCTTTGAAAATTTCTAGAATGATGTGTCATGTATAATTAATGCAGAGTAATAACGATACCTTGCCATTTTACAGTTTACTGAGCTTTTTAGTTTATGTAGCTTCTCATTCATTATTTTAATACCAAATGAGATATGTATTTATTATTACTATTTTATATAAGAGAAAACTAATGTTTAGAAAAACAGTAACATGACTAACCTGACAAAGTAACCGAATTGGGACTTTAACTTTCTTCTGTATGTTAATCCAGTGTTTCTTCCTTTCACCATAGTTACCTGGTTTTTAGGAGCACTTTTCTTATAGGTCATAGAATTAAAGTTGATGTATGCTCCTGTGAATACCTGTCTGTTCATCTTGATATGAGTCCAGGAAAATAACACATCTATTTCACAGATTTTTTTAATTGTTATTCATTTAAAAATATGAATGGCTCTTTTGTCTACATTAGAGATAAGTATTTTTTTAATTGTAAACACAAAGGTACATAGTGAAGTGACTGAAATGCTAAATCAGAAATATAAGTAACATTAACTTCAAATGGAAATGATAATGATTCTAATCCTTCTAAGAGTCATCTCAAATTCTACCTATTCCTTAGAGTATTAATAAAATAAGATGGGCCAAAGTGTTTTTCTGAAGCACCAAAAGTAATTATCTCCTTGATTTCTTCTGAGTTACAGGAAGATTTTTAAAACATTTTTCTTGACGGGTGCAGTGGCTTACACCTGTAATCCCAGCACTTTGGGAGGCTGAGGCAGGAGGATTGCTTGAGCCCAGGAGTTTGAGACTGGCCTGGGCAACATAGACTGTGTCTGTACAGAAAAATTTAAAAAATTAGCTGAGCATGGTGGCTCACACCTGTAGTTCCAGCTGCTCTGGAGCCTGAGGCAGGAGGATTGCTTGAGCCTGGGAGATCAAGGCTACAGTGAGTCATGATCGCACCACTGCACTCCAGCGTGGGTGGCAGAGTGAGACATTGTCTCAAAGAAAAAATCTTTTTTTCTTAAATATACACAAGAGTACATCTAAGCAGTGTTACTATATGCACTCTAATATCTTTCAAGTAATGGCTTCATAACTTGAAATCATAAAATCATAAAATCAGTTTTGGCCATTTTCGCATTTGAAAGGTGTTACTATTCAGTACATTTGTTTTTCAGGCATCTAGTTCAGTGCCTCATATTCAGTGTATTGTCATCTCTATCAGTGCAAGAACAGTAGTAGGTGAGATGTAAAAAGCAGACAGCAGCCTTAAAAATAGAGCATAGTTATTAGTATGTTTTTGCAGATATCTTAAATATTGTCAGCACAATATTTTCTCTTTGGGGAGTCTCAATTTTGATTTTACCTAGGTTTTTATGTTTTCTTTATTCTACAAATACAGGCGTTTGTGTGTGTATTTCCAGTTTTCTAAGACTGTATAATAGCAATTATATTCTTTAATAACAAGAATATAACAATTTCCTTATTTTGAGTTTCACGTTTTCATATTAAAATAATTCCATAATTGGGCTGGATGTGGTGGCTCATGCCTGTAATCCCAGCGCTTTGGGAGGCCGAGGTGGGCTGATTACGAGGTCAGGAGTTCAAGACCAGCCTGGTCAACATGGTGAAACTCCGTCTCTACTAAAAATACAAAAAATAGCTGAGTGTGGTGGCGGGCCCCTGTAATCCCAGCTACTCGGGAGACTGAGGCAGGAGAATCATTTGAACCCAGAGGCGGAGGTTGCAGTGAGCCGAGACCTCGTCACTGCACTCCAGCTTGGGCGACAGGGCAAGACTCTGTCTCAAAAAAAAAAAAAATCCGTAATTGTTTTTCAAAATACACAGTTGTATTTTGAGGCAAAGTAATGAGGCAAATATAAGGAGGTAAAGTATGTTTTGTGAGGGTACAATATTTGTTAAGGGACAGTATTCTAAGTCATTGTTTTTAGTTTTCAGTCATTTTTCATACATTCAAGTAATGACTGCTATTTTTTCAGTTTCAGCATTACAACATTAACATTTACTAATCAATTTTACTGGCAAACCATGAACAATCTAGTTCATTAAACTTGTATTTATATATTACTACTCAAAACAACTATTTTATGAAAAATCTTTTTTGGTAACTGATATAAATAAATACAAAAATTCATAGAACCCGATTCTCTCATGATAAATACTAGACTTACAAATTTACAAACTTGTATAAAGGAGTAATGTTTCATATATTAGGTCTTGAAGACCAGAATACATTTATTTAAAATAAACTTCCAGTCTTTTTCTGAGTTTTTTCTTGTTTTAAGTGCTTCATATGTTAGTGTTTAGTCCTCATCCAAAAATATTAGTAAAATGAAACATTTATTTGATATTTTAAAATGATGCAATTGTATTAAAAACTAGAACTGACCGGGTTTGATTTCTGGTCCTTTTAGTAATAGCTGTGCAAATTTGGGCAACTCTTTTAACCTCTATCTCAGTTTCATTATCTATAAATGTAGGGATAATTGTACCTATTTCACAAGATTATTATGTGTGTTAATGCAAGAAACTGTAGATTAATATCCTGTAATAATAAGTGGCTCAGTAGATACTAGTTAAACGAATGAATAGGTATATAAGTAGATAAACAAAGGCAGGGAAAAGCAGACCAGGAAAGAAAAAGCAAAAGAAGAAAAAGAGAACTCTCAGTCTTAGGTGGAGAAGGTCGGGTAATTGTAACACCTGATGAACTAGAAAATGTAAGCATATACTGTCTCGATGTATGAAATGTAATTTTTATTATTTTGATTATTCTCAGGCAGAAAAGGCTGGCATGGTTCATTTTTTGGATTTCCTAGGTATGATTTTCCTCACAATGATTTGGGCCATTTGTCCTCGAGATAGTTTGGCACTTTTGGGCCAGTGGATACAGTCTAAATTGCAGGAGGTAAGTCTGAGACAATAACTTGAATTGATCATAGCCTGTGGTGAGGATATTTTAATACTACTGTAAAGCAGCAAATCCAGAGATGTTTTTACATTTCACTATGAAATATGGGTACAAATTTTTAGTGTCTTATGTTTTCTCATTTTTAGGGGATATTCTTATATATGAATATTTAAGTTAAGGAATACTACATCTCTCAAATGATGGGTATGGATAGGTTAGAAGGGCTTGGCAACTTTTGGCTACTATGATTTTCAAAAATATATTTATTGGTTTTACAAAGAGAAAACCCAGCCACTGACCCTTCCTTTCATAGTAACTGAATGACTCCCCCATTCCCCAATTTCAGCCGTCCCTTGGTATACAGGACTTCTCGTGGATACCAAAATCTGAGTATGCTCCAGTCCTTGATAAAAAATGGCATGGTATTTGCATGTCACTATGCACATCGTCTCATATACTTTAAATCATCTCTAGATTATGTGTAATTCAATGTAAATGCTATGTAAATTGTTATTTTACTATATATTTTTAATTTTGTTGTAGTTTTTTTTTAATTGTTTTTCATAAATATTTTCTATCCAAATTGGTTGAATCCATCAGATGCATAATCCACAGATATAGAGAGCCAACTGTATTTGCTTTTTAATGGGGCAGTATTAAAACCTGTGAACTTTAATGGGCACAGAATTGGCTAAAGCTGCTTTACCGCCCTTCCTTCCTTCTCTCTCTGTTGAACTATCATTGCTTTGAAATTATTGAAAGGAAAGTCTTACTAGGTGTTTGTTAACTTTTGATTTTAGTGCTTATGTATAATAATCATCTCAAAAATGTATTGAGTGCCTCGTTTTGTTCAAAACACTGTACTACTGAAAGTAGGTCTTGCAATCTTTATAACTACTTTGTTGACTATGATTATTTTATTTGACATCTTTCTTTGAATATTTCCTCTTGTCCCAGGAGGTTTGGTTATTTAGAAACAATCTGTTATTTGTTTATTTAATGATTTGTGGAGTACCCATCAGAGTGCCATCTGGGTGCTGTTTAAATCTAATGTGCAAAATTCTATGAGACAAATTGTTTTTGAGATTGGATAACTAAGTCTGTTATTCAGTATTACCATATCATTTGGCTTCGTTTATATTGAAGTAAAGGTTCTTAAAGAGAGAACAAAAGAATAGTTATTCCTTAGGTTATAGGATCTCATATTTTGAATTTTGTTTCTGTCACTGACCTGCCAGGACATTAAAAGAATTAATTTAGTTATTTTCTCTATCTATCTGTAGATTGCTTTTTTTGTAATGGAATCAGCAGAGTGGGTCATAAGAAAGATAACATGTAGCTATTTCTTTCTTTAAATATTTGATAAATTCTGCCACTTCACTGTAATTCTTCCGTAAAAATAAAATAGGAATGATTCTGTTTGAATTCTTTTTCCCTAAATCAAGGCCCCTCAATAATTCTGGTGACAAGGAGATGTTTTTCTCTAGAAAGTTGCTCACTGTGATTGGAGAACAGAGAGGAATGTTGATAGTGAAGTCATAAGGGTGTGGGAATTGCTGAGGTTCATTTGTTGTGAGGACGGAATGATACATTTAAAGCAAGATTTCTCAATCACAGTACTGCTGATGCTTTGGACTGGATAATTCTTTGTTGTGGGGAAGTTGTCCTGGGCACTGTAGGATGTTTAGTAGCATTTCTCACCCCCATTCCCTAGATGTCAGTAGCTCTCCCTTCTCTCAGTTATGACAGTCATAAATATTTCCAAACATTTGCAAATGTCCCTGGAGGACAAAATCACACTAGGTTTAGAATCATTAATTTAAAACACTTAGCACAATACCTGGCACAAATAAGGACTCAATAAATATGAGCTATTATTTTTGTTCATTTAATCCCCTCTGCAGCTGTGTGAGCTTGGCACTGTTACTCATTTCATTTTACATATGATACTCCTGGGTTTAGTGGGGTTAAACAATTAGCTCAGGGTTAACAATAAGTTAACAGCATTTGGACTTGAACTTAAGTTTCTGTCTTTTTAAAGCCAACGTCTTAAATCCTTATGCTATCAGTAGACTTGATGGAGGCACATGCAGCCTGCTCGTGGAGAGTGAAGGCACTATATGATATACATCATCGACCTAAAACTGACTGATTGAAAAGGAAGGAAGTCATTTCTAATGGTCACATACTGTATATCAGATTTATTGTATTATTTCAGGCCATCACAGACATGTGGCTACCTTTGAAAGATTGCTTCCCCAATTAATAGCTCTTTTCTCAAAAGTCCTGCCTATTGATTCATCTCCTACAAAGTTTTAGTACTTACTGAAAATTAGAATTTAACTGGAAAGCGTTCACATAAATACAAGTAATTAGGAAAATTAAAGTTACTATATCTACGTGTGTTTTTTATTGAAGTCAGAAGAAAATTTCATTTTCCCAACTAATCAATACTTAGAAAAGAAAAAGGAAATTAAGATAATTTATCAAAGAAAGAACATTCTGCTATATGGTTAATTTTCTTACTGAAATAAATTGTCTAGTAGTGTCATTGGATATTATATACCTACGTTTTCTTGATTTTCTTTTAAAACTCAAGGTCATAATGTTCCTTGGCCATATTAAAAGCCTTCATCAATAAGCTTTCTTAGTGAATCCTGTACTCAGTAGGTGGAGACTATAATTGGAAAAATAGAAGTAAATTCCTCATACTACAGACTGTCAAGAAATTGACTTCTATTCTTACCATGTTTTTAAAGTATTAATTTCTAATCAGGGAAATAAAGGCTGTGTTTATATTTTATATTATGGAGTTATTTTAATGTTAGTAGACAGTATAGGAATTTTATCCTAGATACTCCATGAAACTTTAAAATAAAAAAAAACCCTCTCTTTGTTACTCCTTTTGTCATGAAAAAATTGTCTTAATGGGGCTTTTCTGTCCTGTTTCTTCTTAGTATATGTTTAATAGACCATACAGCAGAAAATTGGAGGCTGAAGCTGACGAAATTGGACTACTGCTTGCTGCAAAGGTAAAGTGTTTAGTAGTTGAGAATACATAATGCCCTTCCCAAACTGAAAGATAAATGTGTGTTATTTTAACGAGGCTTGGCATAAGCAGAGAATGAGAGTTGGACTGTATTAGCCCTTTACGCAATTTCTGTTAATCTAGAAATTTGAAGATTATGGACCTTGAAAGAACGTATAACTGAAGATACTCAATTCCCTTCTATATTTAAAGCTGTATTTTGCCTTAGACAGAATCCATAAGATTATAGTAATTATCAGGTTCTATTAAAAGAAAGTCAGTTCTTGATTAGAAATAATTTTTTGCATGTGTAAATTTTTTTATTATAGACATGAAACATATAAATTGAAATTTTAAAACATTTGAGTATGTAATGTGTCATCCTCTCTGGCCTTTTAACATTTGTTGCCTCTGGAAAGCTAATGCTATCTTTATTTTACTCCAGTACTCCAATATTTTACCCCTTGCTTCTCTGATCTAAGGAGGCTTTTTGAGTAAACAGGATGATAGGTAGTTGTTTCCCCCACTTGAAGACAGGTTAATCCTGTTGTAGCTATGATCTTGGCTAAGCAAACTGATTTTCCACCATTTAAATAAACAGTAGACAAACAGACATTTAGATTATTTTTGTTGTAGCAGATGGCTTTTTTTTTTTTTTTTTTTTTTCTAGCCATGGAGAGCAGCTCTGGGCCTTTACTTTTATTTAAGTTGACCTTGTTCCTGTCTACTTAACAGGGCACCTGGCAGCTATTTTCAATCACCTGTGATAACTGAGTGTTATTAGTAGCATTTAGGATTAGAAGTAAAACTGCGTTTTAAAAAATGAGTGAAAACAATGCCACTTCACATATTAAATTCAAATTGTATTTGATCCTTTGTTATGTTTCTAGTAGTTGTTAAAACTATAATCATTTGAACCTCATAAGTTTTATGGATTTAATTTTGTAAATCAAGGTATTACTCCTTCACAAAAGCAAAATCAGTTCTTTGAATGTTAAATAAATATGGTTAAGTGAATTATCAGACTGCACACACTAATAAGTTCCCAAATAAGGGGGCTACAGATTGGCTGTATCAAGAATTTCCTAATTTTAATGTACTACAGTCTGTCAAATTTTCCCTGTGTGTTAAGTGTGTTCTGTGTTCTGGTTAGGAAATCTTTGTTTATCTCAGTAAGTTATTCCTGCTTTATTTCTAAGGAACTTTACTATTTTTTAAATATATATTATGCGGAGGAGGGCAACATCTTTTTTTTTTCCCATATGGATAACTAATAGACTTGGCACTGTTTATTGAAAAAAGTCATCTTTTTTTCACCAGACTTCTGTGTCTTTGTCATAAAGGTGGGTGTATATATGAGGTCTCTTTCTAGACACACTATTCTGTTCCATTGGCCTGTTTATGTTTCAGCCAATATCATATTATCACTGTAACTTTGTAGTAAGTGTTGATACCTGAAACTTCCGTCCTCCACTGTTTTTCTGCAGAATTGATTTGACTATCCTTGGACCTTTGCATTTCTATATACATTTTAGAAACAGCTTATTAAACTATACATACATAGAAAAACACATGGGGTTTTGACTGGAATTACATTGCATTTCTACATTAATTTGGGGACACTTGACTAGTGTCTATAGTATTGATTCTTCACGTCTATGAATATATTTTCCCATTTGTTTCGATGTTTAATTTTTCTTGGTGTTTTGAAATTTTTTTGTATGTATGAATTACACGTCTTTTGTTAGATTTATTGCTAAGTGTTTGATGTCATGATAAATAGTGTCACTTTTAAAGTAAATTGCTTGTATATAAAAATACAATTGATTTTTATAATTGGCCTTGTACCCAACAACCTTTATTTCTTCCCTTCCAATCTGTATACAGTTGACTCTTGAACAGCATGTTTTTGAGCTGTGTAGATCCACTTATACGCAGGATTTTTTTCAATAGATGTATTGGAAAGTTTTTTGGAAATGTGCAACAGTTTGAAAAAACTCAGATGAACCACGTAGCCTAGAAATACTGAAAAAAATTAAGAAAAAGATATGTCACAAATGCATAAAATACATGTAGATATTAGTCTGTGTTATAATTTGCTACCATAAAATACAAATCTTTTATGAAAATTTATCAAAATGTGTGCCTACACAGACCATACATGGTGCCATTTGCAGTTGAAAGAAATGTAAACAAACGTAAAGATGCAGTATTAAATCATAACTGCATAGAATTAACTGTGATACCTGTTGTACTACTCTTATAGTTTTGTATTCACTTCCTGTTGCTATTGCAGTGATCTCAAATGTTGTGAATATCTGCTTAAAACACCATTAGACACTAATCATCATGTGAGCAGCTTTCTTTCCAGTAAATTGAGTATCTTAATAAATGGTCTCTTGCAGTTCTTTCATATTTTTCATTGTGTTTCGTACAATACTATAAACACCTTGAATAATACCATGAAACCCGTATGAATTGCTGCTAGTGATACTGGAAATGTTCCCAAGAAGTAAGCTCATGATATTACAAGAAAAAGTTGAGTTGCTTGATATATACTGTAGATTGCGGTCTGTAGCTGTGGTTGCCTGCCGTTTCAAAATAAATGAATCCAGAATAAGGACCATTGAAAAAGGAAAAGAAAATTTGTGAAGCCATAGATGCAACTATACCAGCAAGCATGAAAACCTTGCACTTTTTGCAAAAGACTTTCATCTTGTATAGAAGATGCACCCTTTATGTGGGTGCAGGATTGCCATAAGAAAGGCATATCTATAGACTGTAATATGATTCAAGAAAAAGCACAAAGTCATTATATTACAACTTAAAAGGAAGATGAAAGATCTAAAGCTGGAGAATTTAATGCCAGCAAAGGATGGTTTGATAGTTTTAGAGATTTGGCTTAAAAATGTCAAGATAACAGGAGAAGCAGCTTCTGCTGACCAAGAGGCAGCAGATGCGTTCCCAGATGCTTTAAGAAAATCATTGAGGAGAAAGAACAACTGCCGGGACAGGTTTTTAATGCAGGTAAAACTGTGCTATTTTGGAAAAAAGATAATGCCATAAAGGACATTTATTAGTAAGGAAGAGAAGTGAGCATCAAGATTTAAGGCAGAAGGAATATGCTAACTCTACTATTCTGCGGAAATGGAGTTGGATTTCTAAGTACTTTCCTTATCTGTAAAGCTGGTAACCCCTGAGCCTCTAAGGAAAAAGATAATACCAACTGCCAGTCTTTTGGTTGTATAGCAAAATGGCCTGCTACACAATGAGAATGCTTTTTCTGGATTGGTTCCATCCATGCTTTGTTCCTAAAGTTAAGAAGTATCTTGCCAGTAAGGACTGCCAGTTCTTTTTACATTCTCAATTCCTCTGGCCACCTAGAACCCCATGAGTTCAACACTGAAGGCATCCAAGTGGTCTACTTGCCCCGAAACACAGCATTTCTAGTTGAGTCTCAGATCAGAGGGCCATAAGGACCTTTAAGCCTCATTACAGCAGGGTACTTTAGGGAAAGGTTGTTACTGCTATGGAAGAGAACCCCCACAGAACATCATGAAAGTCTGTAAGGATTACACCACTGAAGATTCCATCATTGTTATAGAAAAAGCCATCAAGCCTGAAATAGTAAATTGTTGATGAAGCAGACTGTCCAGATGTTGTGCGTGACCACACAGTCAGTCAAGGAAATGATGAAAAGATTGTGGATATGGCAAAAAAGGTGGGGAGTGAAGGGTTTCAAGATACGGATCTTAGAGAAATTCAAGAGCTAAAAGAAACACCTTGTCAGAGGAATTAACAGAGGATGACTTGATGGAAATGAGTGCTTCCAAAATGGTGCCAGGTAGAAAAGACATAGTAGTGCCAGAAAACAAATTGACATTAGACAATCTAGCAGAAGGATTCTGATTATTCAAGACTACTTTTGACTTATTTTATGATGGAAATTACAAAGTATTTCCATTAAGTTACACTGATTGTGCCTGCCTCTCCTGTCTCCCGTTCTGCCGCTGCCACCCCTGGAACTGCAAGACCAACTCTCCTCTTCCTTCTCCGTCTATTCAGTGTGAAGACAAGGATGGAGACATTTATGATGATCCACTTCCACTTAATGAATAGTAAACATATTTTCTCTTCTTTATGGTTTTCTTAATAACATTTTCCTTTCTGTAGCTTACTTATTGTAAGAATACAGTGTATAATACAACATACAAAACATGTTAATTTACTGTGTTACTGGCAAAGTCAACAGTAGGCTATTAGTAGTTAGGTTTTGGGGGAGTCAAATGTTATATGTGGATTTTTGACTGCACAGAGGGGTCAGTGCCCTTAACCTCCGTGGTGTTCAAGGGTCAAATGTACTTTTTAATTTTTGCTTTATTGCAATAGCCAAAAACTTTAGTACAAAGTTGGTGATGGGCAACTTTGTATCTTCCTGATCTTAGGGGCAAGAAAGCATTCAGTATTTCACCATTATGATATTTGTAGTAAGCTTTTTATCAAATGAAAGAGTTTCTCTTCCATTTCTAATATCCTAAGATTTAAAAAAATTATGCATGTATATTAAATTTTATCAAATGCATTTTCTGCATTTTTTCTTCAGCTTTTAAGTTCCAGGGTACCTGTGCAGGTGTGCAGGTTTGTAGCATTGATAAACATGTATCACAGTGGTTTGCTGCACAGGTCAACTCATCACATAGGTGTTAAGCCCAGGATCCATTAGCTATTCTTCCTGATACTCTTCCTCCCCTTGCATTTTCTGCCTGTATTGAGATGATTATATGATTTTTCTCCTTTAATCTGTTAATGTGGCAAATTACATTAATTTTTTAAAAAGTTAAGCTGCTGTTTTGGGGAAATCCATTTTGTCAATTATCCCATAATATATTGCTAGAATTAGTTTAATGCTTAGTTTAGAATGTTTATCTCTATGTTCAAAGGAGATAGTCGCCTAGAATTTTCTTTTCTTGTAATGTCCTATCAGGTTTTAGAATCAAAGTTATG